ATGACAAACACAGTACAGAGGTGATTTATGATGCTTTTATCCACATGTTCAAATACCTTAGAGTGACCTACTGGTGGTGTCCAAAAGAAGCTATACAAGGTGTTAAGAAAAGTGTGAAAGGCCACTCTGTTAACTAGTTTGCCTGCAGGCGTCTTGTGAGAGTGAATGCTGAATGCTTATACAATGCGATAAATTCTTTTCCCTTTTCTTATATTTCCAATGATTATTTTAGCCTCCACAACTTCTTTTGTTTTATTATTTATGCATTTCATATTTTTTGTTTTGCGTTGTTTTATTTCTCATGATTTGAATGTAACGATGTTTCTCACTCACACAATCGATATTGTTAGACGTGAGGCTAGTTGTCTGACAGAGAGGTCATCAGCCTACCAATTAAGGAAGGTCACCCCACAGGCGAGTGAGTGGATGGGCGAGGGAAGTGCGAAGTAATTACAATAGGACCCTAATTGACTCACCCTTGTTCCTAAGTATCTGCAGCTATAGTTGGAATCGTTTTGAAGGTGTAGTCTATTCAAAAAGGGAGTCTTTTCGTCTTCGTTCGCACTAGCAGAACCTTATGAAAAGCAGTTGTTACCGTCGATGGTGGGAGTTCATGTAAACTATTATATAAACGTAAGTGTAACTAAATTCGACCAGGTTTTTACCAGGAGGGTTTCACTGCATTGCAATGGGGTTGTGAAGGGTGGTGGTCTCAGGCAGTCGGATATACAGGTACACAACCTAAAGCTTTGCCCGTATAGCCCGTGCTAAACAAGTTATTATTCGGCCTATTGTATCGTCAAGGGTTTGATATGATCGTCATCGTGGACTCTCCTCAGAAAGTCTTTCTTCTTCCTGAAATACTCTGCTTAGAAATTTTGCTGAAATACTCTGCTTAGAAATTTTGCCTTTAACATAGTACTGATCACTATTTACCCATTGATGCAATTCTTATTATCGCCACTCACCACCGTCCCCGGCTCTCCTCCACAGAGGTTGCTCTCTCCCCGATGGTCTCTTGCCGGCAAGGCCACGTGGCGGCACTTCTAATGACAGATTGGAATAAATCGCGGATAAAACCACAGGGGCTTGCTCAAAGATGCTGGTGGATTCTGTTTAGGGATTCCCTGTTTCTCCTGTGTCAGGTTGAATAGTACTTTCTGTCTCCTCGTAGGTGTGCATGCCATGCATGCATGTGTGGTGAATTGTGTGTTTCTTACTATGCTGCACATCAGTTCAGCCAACAGTTTGCAGTTTTCTTTATTTGAATGACCGGTGACTGAAAATACTTCAGAGGCCATGGCCTCTAACTCCTTCCCGAATCCTATGTTCAATCCTAGATATCCTGGCTGGGTTTACCCAGCCATCTCGTCAAAGCCTGGTAAGTTACACTCTTGCGTAGCCCATATGACAAAAACAGTAATATAAATGAGCCTCTTCCCTCTGAACTTGTTTTAACCTTCAGTAATGATCCGGCTCATAAGGATCATTTATACCCACCAATCTCAGCCTTAGGTCATGACCCATCCAAGACATAACACCTCATATGGAATATCGTTTATCCTTAGGACACAATACAGAACCGGAACACGATTGATAACATGCAGTCATACAGGCGATATGGCGACACGAATATGCGCGGGTATGAAGGATAACCCCGGGGCCTCTGGCAAGGGGACAGACGAGCACGAGACTCATCCAGTGTCCTCGGCCGTGGGTCACCATGTTGAGTAATTCGGAGTTGGTGGAGAGGTTCGCCGAAACGTGACGTCGTCCTTGGCTGATGTAGTCGGAGAGCCAGAGCATCAGAGAGTCTCGAGTACGGTCGTGTGCGGCTTTTATATGGTTCCCAGCCTTATCTCCGCTGTCGTCTGAAAACACAAGATGAAGCTGAGAATTAACGCGAAGGCAAACTCAACTGTAAATATCAACAGTACCGTAAACCTCGGGACTAATATATGTACTCTGCTAAGTCATGCTTCACCCATCCTTTACACTTTGGTACGGCAGTACGGTGTAGCACCATTCACTAGAGACCGCTAAAATCTCAAAGCCATAAGAGGCTGCTCGAGGGGAAGGGGCGATGGCAATTAGTACTCTTGATACACGAATGCTTGCATTGGTAGCATGTGTTAAAGGTCTGATGGTGCAATCAAGGAGGACTAAATAAGACGTCATCAGAGTAATGTTACTCGAAACATAGGGTAGCAGTGGCGTCGTCAACACGGGTAAAGATAAGGGAGGATCTAAAATAGAGAGGAGCAGCAATACCGCTCTTCTCTCTTTTAGATCCTTGGGGGATTGTGTTCACAGCGCTTTGACAAGTAAGGATCGAACCAGAAAATTTAATGAGCCCTACACCACTCACTATCAGAATATCTCGGCTTTCCATGCAGTGCCTTTCTGAATGCAGTACCCTCAAGCACGTGCAAAACTAGAAGGGCTGTTGTTGTACGAAGCTCTCGATGATATGTACTGATGCCGTCGCACAATCTGCTTGCTGTCTTTAAAGGCACAGTTCACGAGAACTTCGGGTCTGGATCCTCTGATTTGTCGTTATTTCCGCTTCCTCCAATTGCAGAAGTTCAATGGGACGGCGAGTTTTGAAGGATCTGGAAGTCATAACAGTGCTTATTTTGTGGAGAACTCAGGTATGCTTTTTATTTAGAGACTGAGATGCAAGCAATATTGTTACGTTATAGGCTACTTCTTGATTCTGAGAATATTCGAGCTTATACCAACATAGCGTAGTAGGATAAGTTACAGGAGGTTGAGAAATGTTAGAGTAATAGTTACCAAATAAATGATTAGGTACTATCGAGTCATAAAGTACAATCGGCTCTCTTCAATTTTGGTCGGTGTCAGCGTAGTGTATAAAGTAAGCCTGATCACACAACTTTACTCGATTGCTTCAGTAAGCAACTGAACTCATACTAATGGATCTTAGATCCCATAGGGTCGAGAAGGGCTATGCGCTGCGATACGTGTGCGTAGCCAAGATTGATCGATCGAACGTTTGGAAATCAGACGAATCGAAAAAAGTAATAAATAAAAGAGTAGTGATATTATGATTTAGTCAAAACATTAAGAATCTACTATGTGCTTTCCTGACTGCTGTTCTTATCGTTGCAGCTTTCCTGCAGCGGTCGTCACAAACTGTTAATGAGTCTTTATGCTGATAGTCTCAGTTTTCATATGCGGAGAAAGGTATAGTTTCTATAGAAATATGTGCATTTTTTTGAGATTCAATCTTATGAATGAGGGTCCCATTTTTTTCATCACTCAAGACTTGATCATTGTGAATTCGATGCCTCGTTTCGGCATGAGATGCATACGCCTATCGCTTAAGCTTACGGAATCTCAATCTGTTGCCTCTGGTCATAGCAATAACCATCCATTGATAGTTTATTCCTCCCTTTTATTACGCTTATTGGCGCCATGACTTTCCCGCAACTAAGCAACGTGATGAGTCAACCTAAGCCATCAACGGTACCTACTAATTTTGTCTGATGATAACACTACTATCGGAGGTCTATATCATTTCTTCAAACCGTCATCTCTATGGCGCAGATGTATTGCCCTCCCTCTTCCAAGGGCCTCAATTGCACAAGGGTAGTGCCCTCCCTCTTCGGCCGAATAATGTAGGTTTGCTTCCCGCCGTCGTGCCCGTTTTTGTAAGGGGTGCTTTCTTCCCTAAACAATTTATTATAACATTTTCTGATACGTTTCGGAGATATTCTCTGATATTCGTAGCTCATTTTGGCTTTCGTTGACGGTAGTATTTTTATATAAGGCGGAATGATTCTGCAAGCACATTCTCTGAGTATTTCATTTTCAAGCTCAACCATGTGAAGTACACGAGAAAAATCATTTGGAACAGATTTACGTGAAAACCTCGAAATTAGGAAAAAACGGTCCAAAGAAAATGTGTGAAGTTACCATCTTGCTATCAAAATACGGGCCCGACGCATGCTATCTCTCTACTACCACGAACAAATCACGCAGTCGGTGCGAGACTGAATAAATAAAGCGTAGCAAACGTGTCGGGTTTTTCATCAATTTATCCACTTTGTTCCAGGAGTTGATCTACTTTAATGAACCATGTTCGGTATTGAGACGATCTACGCATTCCCCTTGTACATTTGTAGAGGCAGCATGAATAGTGCGTGTAAATTGTGAAGACATGTTTCCTCTATACATTCTGTGTGTTGTTTCATGGATGTTGAGTTTTTCTCGCGTATCTGTACTGCTCCACATAAGTGCACGTCCACCCATGAATGGCCCCTAAACTCGTAACTATCGAAGTTCCTGTAAAAGTCTTCAATTGAAGGTTGTGACAAGAATTAATCGAATTTTGTACACGACATCAAATTCTAAATGTAGAAGCGCTATGTTTGTTTTATCTTTGTGTTTTGAAGAAGTCTCATTGTCCTAGTCCGCAACAAGATACGTCCACTGAACAAAACAATAAATAGGAGGCACAGTTCGCGTTAATCTAAGGAACACTTTTTAAGTTGATTAACGGAGGTGTTGCTGAAGAATAGTGTATTTGTGGCGGAGAAAGTCCGTCGACTTCGCGGAAAATAGGTCTCTGAAATAGCGGAAATGGAGGTTGTACGTGATCGCCTTGATGGGACTGGCGGCAGGGGATATATTGACGAAATCTGGTTACAGTTGCTTAAAGAAATGGCTTCATAAACCTGAAAATGTCAAAACCTGCCTTTCACTGGGAGTGAAAAATCGGCGGACTTCGTGAAATATAAGGTCTTTTACCCCTAGACGACCGCGTGGCCCGTCAGCGGTCCACGGTAGTATTTACATAATTGATTATACGTTTTGATATCTTTGACGCTTTCAAGCATCAAGTAGGCTCACTGCCTTCTGGAGAACCTTGAGACGCTGTGATCCTAGTATCACTCACTTCCTGCTACAGCTATGAGATAAAACAAAAGTTAGGGCAAGGACAGTACTAAAAGGTGCAAAATCAAGCGTTAACAACTGGTCAGTCGCACATACTACGTGTAATAGTTCAGGGAAACACTCAAAAGAAACTTTCATGGCACTTAATGCATTTGATGAGATCCTTTTGGCATCATTTATAAGCACACCATTTAGGCAACACATGCTAATGCGTGCATTATATGTCGATAATCTACGATTTAGTCATTCGGCGAAATGTTGGATTATCATTATGTACTAACAAGATAGAATTATTCGTGGTTGATCGTAGCTCCGTCGACCTCAGTGCAGACCCTTCCTACTGCAAAAACTTGGCTACCCTTCTTCTAACTGCGCCTAACCGTTTTCTCCGCCTGACATTCCGGCGTATGCCTCGCCCCTTGAGGACGGAGCTCCGCTGAGCTCACATGTGCTCTGTTGCACTTACCCTATGCTCAACCCATTCCAAACTTGGCCCGACTTCTCCAGGTATTTTTTCAGGTTATATCGGATTGCCGTACAAACAAACAAGCAGACAAACAGACAGACAGACAGACAGACAGACAGACAGACAGACAGACAGGCAGACAGACAGACAGACAGACAGACAGACAGACAGACAGACAGACAGTGCGCTTAATATATAGTAAGAATTCTTTTTCCTCGGATATCACTTGTAGCAAGCAGTGCATCATCTCCAGCTTTCTTCCAAGTTTTCATTCTAGTTTGTAAATTGTATTTGGAGAGGGAGGCTTGCCGAAAACATCGCGAAGTTAGGGTCCTACAAGGTTTATCTCAGCGATGATATCCGCCTCTAACCATCCCATCAATAAATTGAAGGCGAAATTCATCCCTCATCTCTAGACAAAGGTATGATATATTGTTGTGTCTGGATCCCACAAGCCACGAAGGCCAGGATCTCACAAGCCATGAATGTTTAGGGATAAGCTGAGCAAATCCCTTTTTTCCGTAAGCTAGACCATGTAACAGTGGATGTCTCTTTGAGTATCCATTCTTTGATTTTTTATGAAATTCCACAGTAGAAGTGACGATTCAACCACAACGTAGCACATACATTTGTAGATGATTTATTACTTTTGTGATAATTAATTGACCTTTATCTCAAATAATGGATGCGCAAAAAATTAGGTTGCTCCTGGAGCCGTGTGAAACAGCCAGATATTGGCGTAAATCCGCCTTACCATGTACCTCCATGCAGCAACAGCCCGCGAAAAGCGCTCTCGGTCCCACACGCCACACACCCTCAAAAGGCGCGGTCGTCATCGGGTTAAAAGTAGCGAAAATAGGAGTATAAAGTGATAATCCCGGAGGAAATGCTATTCAAAGGATATTCCAATGGCGAGATCCAGAGAGAAAGAGGGAGATTTCAATAGCTGCAATTGCGTAAGGAGCTTGCTACATCAAGCGGAAAAAGTCAAAAAGTGCATTCCATTTCGCTATAAATAGCGACTAGTTCTTAAAATTTCCAAAATTTCTTAGATGTTCTTAGGGAGGGTGCAGCTCCTACAGCGCTGTTGAATCTCGTCCGCTATAGCTGCGGCATTCAGACGATGCAATCTCTGAGCCCTTATGATGCCCTATTTAGCCCATTTAACAATCTGACAACGTCATATATGGTATACAGGGACGCCACAGATTCATCAGAAGATTTTTCAGAAACAATTTTTATCGTGAACTGTGCCTTTAACAACGAGAGATCAAAAAAGTTACAAATTACAATACAGTTTTCATTGAAGTGAGGTCAAGCCTCCCCGCGGGCCAAGGCAGAAGGGCGATTTGATGACCTTGAGGCACCTTTGGGTCCTCGGCTGACATGTATCGGGTCGTTGTCTTGCTAAATGGAGTTTTGATGCCGGTTCTGGCACCAGAAAGGAAGGACTACTTACCTCATAGCGACACGATAGCTGTAAGATTACGTATTTTTGGTAGGAAGCTTAATTCAGCCGCCCTTTCGTGTGATTGCTGCCTAAACCATCACGCCACCTCCACTGAGAACATAATTAGTTTCAAGTTTTTGGACAATTCACGGCGTGGCCTATGTTCCAAGGCAGTCTCATTTGGTCGTGTGTGGTAAAATAAAAGTGGTTTACAGAAATTGCGAGAAAAAATAATTTCAAATAAGTGCAGTGATCGTAAACGATGGCCAAAAAAGGCGCTTACTTGGAATTTTATCAAAAAAAAAGTAGTAAGGAGCTTCGTTGGAAATAAAGCGCGCTTAACGAAAACTGGCGCTACGGCGTTGAGCGAAACCGAATTGTTTGTCGGAGGTGGGAGAGCACTGCCGCCGCGCCACGGCGACCCTCAATGCCACTGCGGGCAACTGCGCACTGTAGAGGGGTGTGATAACGTGAGAAAATGAAGAATGAAGAAGTGAGGAAAATAGTAGACTGATTATTAGAGAGTGTATAAAAGGGATGGTAGTGAGCAATAAATCATTCTCCCCCTCGTCTCCGTCTTCACACACACACACGAACTGGCGATCAGCCGAACGATGGAAGCAGCACAAGGACAAGCACAAGGCCAAGGACAAGGACCAGTACAAGGAGTGAAGAAGGAAATCGGCAACAGCGCCACTGGAAGAGCCACGATGGGAGATCCCGGTACTGAGGTGTACCGAGGTCGAGCTCCCGGGCCTTATGTCCCGGGGATGTCGTGGCGGACCTGGTGGAAGCTGTTTGCCAACTTTCTTGTGTTGAGGAAAGTGACAGAAGAGGGGGATCAGCGGCTTATATTCCTGCAGGAAGTGGGTAACTCGAATCACGAGTTGCTGGAGTCACTTCTGCAGGGACGCGAATTGTTGGAGGAAGTACCATTGAAGGATTTACGGACAGCGATGGAGCAGCATTACCAGCCGAAAAAGCTGGTATTGGCAGAACGATTCGGACTGATGTCGAAGACACAGAAGCAAGGACAGTCGCTGCATGAGTATTACGCGGAGCTCCAGAAAGCGGCGAATACGTGTTGTTTTGAAGAAATCAAGGATCATCGGGATGCAGTAGTGACGATGGTCTTCATCGGTGGGTTACTTTCTATAGAGAAGAGAAAGCGCCTTTTAGAGAAGGAACAGCTATCCTCGAAGGAAGCGCTCGAGCAGGCGGAAGCTTTCGAACGTGTAGGAGTGAACGCTCCACACCTGAAGGAAGATCCGCAGCAAGTTCAGCCGGTGGGAGTGGCTCAGGTAAGAACACGGAAAGATGAGCGTAACCGACAGAGGCCAGGGCGCGTGCAAACGAAGGATCAAAAGGGAAGGCCGAGCAGGGGCTCAGCTCGGAAAGGTATGAGATGCAGGGTTTGCGGAGCGCTTGGCCATGCCGGTTATGAGTGTTTTAGGAAGGAGAAGGCATACTGCAATGTATGCGGGAGGAGAGGCCACCTGGCAGTGACGTGCTGAAGAACCCCAGGACTGGCCAAAAAGTCTCCCGCCAAGTACATTGGTGTGAGGAGCCCGCTGGAAGCTCCGACAGTGGAGAGGAACTAGTGACTCAGAGCGTGAACAAAGTAGCTGCGTCACGACTTACCCACTATCGTCGAGCTAGGCCGCGGAAGGTGACTCGGAACGATGTGCGGCGGGTGGAGGACAGCCCGGAAACTGGACGAGGCAGTTCCACCGCACGATTGGAAACGGGCACCAGAAAGGTGAAGTGCCGCAATGGAGAAGTGATAGCCGCTGATATGGTTGGAGATGTTGAAGTGGACCGGTTGTCGGGCGAGCAACCGAGAATGCTGGAGATGGAAGTGAATGGGAAGAAGATCCCATTCGAGCTAGATACCGGTGCATCTCTTTCCATTATTGACGAGAAGACATGGAAGAGGATAGGCCAGCCGCAGTTGAACAAGGCTGCGGTGGCCGCGACGGCATTTGATAATGATCGTATTAAGTTCCAAGGAAGAGTTCCACTAAATGTTAAGTTCGCCGGGAGAGAGGCGATAGTGGATGTTCATGTCTTTAAGGAGGCGACGCACTCCTTATGTGGTCGAGACATGATAAGAGAATTACAGATAGATTGTGGACCACATTATGGGATGGTTCACAAGGTTAAACAAATGCCCAATATAGAAATCAAGAGAGAAATTGTGCGTATACTGGATAACAACAAGAGGTTGTTCCAAGATGATTTGGGCAAGTGCTCGACTGCACGAGCAGAGTTGAAATTCAAAAGTGATGTAGTAGTGCCTAAGTTCTTCAGAGCTAGGCCAATACCTATTGCGTTGAGGCCCA